GCAAAGTGATTGAAGGCAGGCAGTTGAGGTGGAAAGGACATTAGGCTTGGGGTCAGAAGGTTGGGTTTAGAAGCTTGGGCTTGAATCCTGGCTCTATCATTAACTACTAGAATGTTGGGCAAGTCACATAACCTCTCTTGGCCTTAATATTCTTTATCTGTAAAGTGGTAATAATAATGTCTGTCTCACAAGGTAGTTGATAGGATTTAACTAATGTGACTATCCAATCTAGTACTAGACTAGTAGATCGTCAAAGTACACTTTGACAGAGACACACATTTGTGGTATATAGCTTCCAAAATGGCCCCAATTATCCCCTCTCCTACTATTAATACCTTGTCTAATCCCCTCCGTGTGAGTTAATGGAGACATCAGTTCCCTGCCATGTGGGTCTCTCCACAGGACAGCTCACAACATGGCTGATGTCTTTCTTCTGGGAGAGAGAGAGAGAGACAGACAGACAGAGAGAGAGAGAGAGAGAGAAAGAGAGAGAAATAAAAAATCATAGTCTTTTTGTTACCTGAACTTTTTTTTTTTTCAAAAAATTTTTATTGTCATCTGGGTGAAAGTTTTCAGAGCAAATTCATTTTCCATACAGCAGTTCACACACACTTTGTTTCATGACACTGACTGCAATTCCCCAAAATGTAGTAGTTCTCTTCTGACTTCTCCTGGTTACCTCTTCCCTGTGTCCCTCTCTCCCATATGCTCCCACCCCCCGAGCTATCTCCCTGTGCAAAAACACTGCTCTTCTATTCTCCCAGATTGATCCTTCCAAGGAGTGTCTCTATCTGATATAAATGTTCACCCCATATGCTTCCTGGAAGCCACAGGAGTGAGTTCAGTTTCAGACCTAAGGCATCCAGACCAGAACTTTTTTGGGCTAGACTTAGTGACTTGTTTCTAAGTAATAGTATATTGCAAAGGATGATATGTCACTTTTGAAATTAGGGTCATAAGACAGTGGCTCTCATCTTGTTCATTCTCTCTCATTCTCTTTGCTCACTCACTTGGAGGGAAGAGGGCTGCCATATTGGGAGCTGCCCAGTGGAGAGGCTGATGTGGCAAGGCATGTCTCAGCCAGTGAGGTTCTGAGGCTGGCCTGTAGTCCTATGAGAGAGCTTGAAGCAGATCATCCCCTAGTAGAGCCTTGAGATAAAGGCAGCCTCCACTGACACCTTGATTTCAGTCTTGTGAGAGCCAAAGGCACCCAGTTAAGCCATCCTCTGGATTTCTGACCCACAGAAACCATGAGAAAATATATGTATGTTGTGAATTAGTATGTTTTGAGATAATTTAACATGGAAGGCTGTGGGGAGTGATTAACTTCCTTTGGGGGAAATGGAGAGGCTTCTGGGATGAGGTGTGTGTGTGCTATACCCAGAAGATGGACAGGATGTAAGCTTGAAGAGAAGGTGGAGAAAGGTTTTCAGGCCTGGGGAGAGGTTGAGGAAGGGCAGCAAACAGTTGTGTTCCAGGAATGGTGAAATCTAGTTTGACAAAAATCACCTCACTCACACATATACGTGGATGGAAACTTCCACATCAGGATCATTTGTCTTCACAGGGCCTATGGCTTTGTCCTGGGTTACCTCACACCTTGCCCTCAGGAGTTGTGGCATGAGCTCATTGGCACTTGGGGGTACCTCTGCCTCAGGGGCATCAAGGAATTCTGTCCCTTGTGCTCGGCCATGCTTCCTCCTTTCCTGCCAGTGCTGCCCCTTTTACTATCTCTGCTCCTGCCTCAGTGAGCCTGCTTCACCCCCTCAGGCTCAGACATTGAGTTCTGCTGCCCAAACAGGGGCCTGGAAGAGGCTTCTTGGCTGTGGCAGGTCCTGTTTTGGTTGCCCAGGCTCCCTGTCCTGCAGAAGGTAGAGACGTGGTTGTGGCTTGAGCTCTGACCCCTGGAAGACTCCTGTGGTCCTCTGGACTCTGCACATTGGACTTCAGGGATGTAGACCCCTGAATCTTGCACTCACTCAAGCACCTTCAGGCCCTCAGGGCCCCAGCTGTGGTAACTTATGCTTTCAATAATCCCTTCCTTTTTCTAAACTCTGATACCTTTTTTATTTTCTTTATCTGGAATAGAGAGCAAAGTGTATTAGTGGTTAACATGGCCTGGCAGGTGAAGGGGGATGGGAAGTTATTGTTTACTGAGTTTCTATTTGAGGTGACTAAAAAGTTCGGATCAATTTTGATTCCCACCTCACCTACCACTTAGCCTCAGTATCTGTAACAGTTTATCTGGAAAAATGAGAGGAGAGGCCATAAGATAAAACTCGTTTTTCATCTACATGAAAGAAAGTTTGTAATTTGAGTAGTCAAAATTATTAAATAACAAGAAATAGCATCATCTGGGTATTCTGGAGAGTGTATCCTCAGGGCAGAGAATGGGAGATTGAACCATCCTTTTGAGAAACCCATAGGCCCTTCTGTCTCTGATCCCAAGGCTCTTCAAGTTGACAGGTGTCAATTTGCGAAGCATCTGTTACTGGTAGGGATTACTCTGGGGCCTTCCTGGCTACTCTTATGAGTAGGATGGTCCCTACACCCATGAATGTAATATGTGAACACACAAAAGGCACACATACATACACACACATGCACACACACAGCGTTACAGTGGATGGGTAGGTGGAACAGAGATTTAGAGAGGGCATTAGACCAGGAGCCTGGGGACATGTGCTTCAGCCCTAGCTCTGATCCTTGGTGACTGTAGAGAAACCCTCTACCATTGTTTCCTCTTTTGTAACGTGATGGAATTAGAACAGATGTCTCCAAGACATTTTCTTTCTGTGGTCTAGATGCAGACACATTACAGAGACATGTGATGTGGACTTTGGATTGGAGTCTAGTTTATAGTGTTTAGCTGCACTGGCTTTGGGGGTAGACAGACTGCTTTTGAACTCTGGCTCTGCTGGCTTTAGGCTGTGTGACTTCAGGCAGCATACTTAATCTCTCTAACTCCAATTTCCTCATCTGTAGAATGTAGACATTTCACTGTGTCAGGAATGGGGAGGTCATTTATGTAACACTATCAGACTCTGTAAGTGATACTTATTACTACTGGTCACAGCTCAGCCATTAATCACTAGTGAACTTGGGTTAAACCAAATGAACTTTTCAAGACCTCAGCTTCCTCCTCTGTGTCAAAGAGATCTTTAAGCACTTTCCTTCCTCACACGCACAGCTCAGGGAATGTGGCTATTCAGAGATTCACCACAAGGGGCGATGAGATACTGTTTTGAACCAACTTCAGACCTGTGTTGCTCTCAGGAAAAGTCAGTCTTTTTGGTCTTTCACCCCCCCACCTCATTTTTTAAAACTTATAAGTCACTTGAACTGGAAACTATAGAAACAACATCATATTATAAAGATGGAAACAACTGAAGTGCCCATCACTTCACGCTTTCCACAGCCTGTCTATGATGCATATGTTTGAAAAATGTCCACTAACAATTGGAAACATCCACTATAGATCAAACTGCAAAATTAAACTATTGATAAAACATTCCCAAAGATAGAAAGCAGGTAAATGTTTAAAGTATCAAAATAGGCTAAAACAAATTCATCTTTTTATTTTAATGTTTTACATATTATTTTTCTTATATGATCAAATGATAAAAAAACATATAAAAAACGCAAAACAAAAAGTCCAGAATGAACACCCCAAATGCATTCTATCCAGAGCCTATCATTGTTAATACGTTGGTATCTATCTACTTTTATACCTATCTATCTATCTGAATATACATGTGGTGAATTCAGAGATATATTTTATATTGAGAAATTATTTGTTACCTTGATTTTATCACTTAATGATAGTGAACATCTTTCCATGTTAATAAACTTAAAAAAAACCCAACATTTTATTTTAGAATAGGAGCTCTGGTGGCGTAGTGCCTGAGGCATTTGACTACTAACCAGAAGGCTGGCGGTTCAAACCCACCAGCCACTCCTCGGAAGGAAGGTTGGGCAATCCTACTTCCGTAGTAATACTGCCTCAGAAACCCAAGGAGGGGTAACTATGAGTCGGGGCCGACTTGACGGCACAGAACAACAACAAATTTTGATAGGAATCAACACACGGTTTCTGTGCCCAGCTCCATTTTGGTCTTGCTGAGGGACCCTGGGTGCATCTTAGCCCCTTTGCATGGTGGTCTCTCATTTATCCTTGGGATTGGGGCTCTAGTCCCCAAACCTGACAGGAGGGAATTCATGGAGGCTTTTAGGCGCAATGATGGGTCAGGAAGAGGTTATTTCCTTTCCCTGCCTAACCCTCCCCCTTCCCCTGGTAAAACGCCCTTCTTCTTTTTCCTTTCTTCCTCTTTTTCTGATTGTGTCCCCCTCACCCTCCCTGCCCGCCTCCCCATCCTCTGCTCTGGGAATCAGGCTCTTGTGGGGATTGAGCTGCTGTGATGTGCTACCTGGAAGGGTTGCTCTGAGGGCCGTGGGGACTAGATTTGTAGGTAAAAGTCCCACCTGCCCTCTCTCTGTGGTCTTTGATCCTGTGTCCTCTCTTTCTCACTTGCTCTTGCTCACTCCCATTTTCTCTCTGTCTTATGGTGGCTCCATTTTTTCCATCTACTTCTGTCAGTTTTATTTATTCTGTCTGTTAACCCATCTTACTGTCCATGGTCTCAACCATCTTCTCTAAGGGCGTGCTCTTACTAGTTCCAGATCTGTGCTCCCAGACCCAGAACTCAGTGTGAGTAGGACAAACCTCCTTGTGTCCAGTAAGTCCCTAGCCTTGGAGAAGGTCTGCCACGTCCTCCCAGGCCCCTCCCACCCTGTTTATCTTCTTTCTGTTCTGAGCAGTTTTTGGAAAATAATCACCATCAATCCAGGTGCTTATCCATCCCGGTCCTGAGAGCTTGGATGTTCTCATGGATTCTCTTTCGTCTTTCCTGCTGTAGCTGGAGCTTTTGACTTTGCGTGGTTACCTCCTGGAGGTGCATGAGCCCTCCCTTCACCCCTTCCTGCAGTCTGGCCGTGGGGACATGGGGGGCGGTAATGGCTCAGCAGTGACTGAGTTTGTTTTGCTGGGGTTCTCAGGTTTTAGCTACCTCCAGGTGCCCCTGTTTTGTGGGGTGCTTTGTATCTACCTGGTTACCTTGCTGGGTAACACTCTGATCATCCTCCTCACGCTGCTAGACCCTGCTCTCCACTTGCCCATGTATTTCTTCCTTCGCCACTTCTCCGTGGTGGAGATCCTCTACACCACAACCATTGTGCCTCGGATGCTGATCGATCTCCTCTCCTCCTGCCCTACCATCCCACCTGCCAGCTGCTTCACCCAGCTGTATTTCTTTGCCCTCTTTGGCATCACTGAATGCTGCTTGCTCACGGCCATGGCCTATGACCGCTATGCTGCCATCTGCCGGCCCCTGCATTACACCACCCTGATGAGCCAAGGAGCCTGTGTGAGTATGGTGGGGGCCTCTTACCTCATGGGCATCATCACTGGCACCACTCACTCCATCTGCATCTTCACCCTGCCCTTCCATGGCACCAACACTATCCATCACTTCCTGTGTGACATTCTACCTGTGCTGAGACTGGCGAGTGTGAGCACCTTCTGGGGTGAAGTGGGGAATCTTGCTGTCACCATAGCTTTTATTGTGACCCCTTTCTTACTGATAGTGGCTTCCTATGCCTGTATCCTTGCCACCATCCTTGGAGTTGCAACATCCCAAGGACGTCAAAAGATCTTCTCTACCTGTTCCTCCCACCTGTTTGTTGTCATGATGTTCTTTGGGACTGGAACTGTTGCCTACATGAGGCCTTGGGCAGATGCCTCTCATGACACAGACCAGATCCTTGCTTTCTTCTACACAGTAGTCACTCCCATGTTCAACCCTTTTGTCTATACTCTGAGGAACAAGGAGGTGACAGGGGCCATGACCCGACTGGTGAAGAGATATCTTTGGAGTCCATGATCTACCTGAGTTCTGGAGATAAGGGCTTAATCCTTGGACATGTTCAATGAGGAGGGAGACACTGGCCTTTGCAGTCCCCAAGGGTCTAGCCTGCTCTGTTGTCTGAGTGTAGTGTTCCTTGCACTGCTCAGCTTAAGGGCCCAAAGCATTGACCTGATGCTCAGAGCTCTTCCTCTGAAGCCTGTGTATGTGATGATCTTGTGTGATTTCTGCTTTGTCCTGAAGCTCAAGGCAGCTTCCTGGGGCTATGATTCCTGTATACATTGCTCTACCTCCTTCTCCCAGAGCTTGCTCATTACAACTCTTTCTTAGGCATCTTGAGTGTACAACAGCTCCTTTGCTTCAGGTGCGAGGTCTAGTCTGGGCATTGGGTGGCAGAGAAGGAACAGGGGCAGGGCATAACTGGTCTGGCTTTGACAGTTTAGGTAGTGTTCTGGTTACCTAGTACCAATCTGACAAGAATATACCACAAATGGGATGGCTTGAACAACAGGAGTTTATTCTCTTACAGTTTGGAGGCTTTAAGACCAAATTCAAAGTGCCAAGCTCTAGGGGCTGGGTGAAAGCCCCTCAACCTTGGGGTCCAGCTCTGCCTCCTGCTCTCAGCCCACTGGAGCTAGAGGCATTTCTTCACTCAGACAGCTGCTGGCTGCTGAGGCTGAGAAGCCTCAAGGTTGACAAGTAAAAAGGCACAGTCCCGACATTACCAAACCACATGGCAGGCCATTAACTTAGGTCCCTTGTAAGTCCCAAGGTCAACAGAGCATAGCAGGCTGCTGAGCAATGACACGACTACCTGCAGGGTCCAAGCATGCCATACATAGGCTTGAGACCATTCCCAATGCTTCTCCTTATATACAGGAAGCAGACCACATCTCAAAGGCAGCTACTCAGCTGCTTGTGGTAGATCCCACCATGTAGTGGATTGGCAGTCTCATCATGGGGAAAAACTACCATCAGCTGCCCAGCCACTCAACCAAGCCCAGCTAAGTTGACACACAAACATAACCACCACAGGTACCAAGTCTCATTTGGTGCTGTTTGGGGTCTGGAGGCATACGGCCAGTTGCTCTGCTCCTGATTTGCAACTCCCTTCATGGGCTTGCTGAGGTGTTAGTATTCTTACTTTCTCCCTGGCTCTTAATTTCCTCCCTGGCCATAAGTGCTGCTCTCAGCTCTAGTAGAAATGTACCCTTCATCTCTTTCCCCCGACTCTGGGGATTCCACTAGAATTCTCTTGTCTCTTAGTAACATGTTAATCTTAGAGAATTTTGTACCCAGAAGGAAAAAAAATAACTTTCAATATTTTGGTGTTAATAATATCCTTGGGAAAATTTTCTAGTCTGTTTTTCCTCTGTATGTGTTACTCAGGGCCATCAAATTGATTTCGACTCATAGTGAACCCCATGGGGTTTTCAAGGCTGTAAATCTTTACAGAAGCAGACTGCCTCATCTTTCTTCCATGGAGTGGCTGGGGGGTTCAAATTTTGGTTCATGCCAAATGCTTTAATCACTACACCACCAGAGCTCCTTACGTATGCATAGATAAATATATTTTAAAAATGAAAAATGGGATTATATTGTCAAAACTGCTCTGTATTCTTTATTTTCGACTTCATTAAACTATATTGTAACATTTATCATATCAGCAGATTTCTAAAACACGCTTTTAATATCCACATAATATTCTACTGTATCCACATAATATTCTACTATAATTTTAAGCAATCTCTTTTTGGAATTTTTTTTTCAGTTTTTGGTTATAAATATTGTTGAGATAGAAATCATCAAATGTATATCTTTATATAAGGAGCTTTGTATACATATATATATACATATGTTTCTGTGTATATATATATATATTTCTCTTGAGCTTTTCCTTAGTACAAACTTCTGGAAATGGAATTCCTGAGTCGAAAACTCAAAATCCAAACCAAACTCACTACCATTGAGTTGATTCTGACTCATAGCGACCCCTTTTTGGGTTTCTGAGGTGGTAAATCTTTTTTTTTTTTTTTAATTGTGATTTTGGTGAAAATTTACAGAGCAAATTCACTTTCCATACAGCAGTTCACATACACTTTGTCTCATGACATTGACCACAATTTACCACAATGCAGCAGCTCCCCTCCTACTTCCTCCCCATAGTTACCTTTTCCCTGTGTCCATCCCTCCATGCACTCCTGCCCCCTGAGCTGTCTCCCTGTGCATAAGCAGCCCTTCTTTCTCCCATGATTGTTCTCTTCAAGGAGTGTATCTAGAAAGGTGGTAAATCTTTGCTGAAATAGATTGCCCAGTCTTCCTTCCGTGGAATGGCTTGTGAGTTTGAACCGTCAACCTTCCAGTTAGCAGTCAAATGCCTTAGGCATTTGTCGCCAGAGGCATTGCCGCCAGAGCTCCTGAGTCAAAAGGCATACACAATTTAGAGATTTGAAATGTGTTGTAAATGTCCATAAAATGTTTTATTTCTTTGTAGTCCAATGAGAGCCCTTTCTCACAACTTTCAGGTCAGGGAAATGGACTAAGAGTCAGGAATGAGTTGAGGTTAGATGGCTCAGGGAAGAGGTATGGATTTTAATATCTTATGTTGAAGGAAGGATCTGATAAGGAGGACACAAATTCACTTTCTCTTAGTTTAGGGAGGACTAGGTGAAACATACTTTGACTAAAAATACAACATAATGTATCAAAGTTAGATCCAAGGAATTGGTTTCCTGATAGAGTTAGTATCTGAACAAGACAAGAATACCAAAAGGAAGAGGTCATAATGGAGTCAAGCTGGCTCAGCCCTAC